CTCGTAGCTCCTCAGCCCCTGGGTACAGAAATATGAAACTACTTTAATTTCGGTGTTTTTACCCGTTTTAATATCCTGGTTCGCTTATTTCTGAGAGGAGGAAGCCTCTGTGGATAATCCTGAACAGTGAAGAGTGGAGGAATCCTACCTGGTGAAAGTTAAAATTCCCATGATGATCATATAAGCTTCACAACACCAACAACATCAGTCTGTTGTTATTGTTTTGTTCAGAAGCTGTTCTCTTTGCAAAAAATATCCTTTACATTGACAATCATCATATATGTAACTCAAGTTATACCTCAAATGAGATTTAAATAATGATTTGTCTCTTGCCACTGAGTAAGTTACATCTTTTGGTCTGTTCTTTGTCTCTTTTTGGGCTAAATGCAACGATTTAATTTGTTACTAAAGCTCTCGATTGACAGGACACTTGTTAATATGGACTTGAGGATTAAACACACTCATAAACGAGTGCTGTACATTTAGTTAAATCAAAGCAGCATTGTGAAATCCAGCCTCGCACATCAGCCCCCGGAGTTTCTGTCATATCGTGTCTGTTGCTGGTAAAACGCTGCGAGGCGTCTGGAAGCTGCAGTAAAACAGGACTGTGAGTCAGTCGGTTCTGACTCATCGCAGCCTGTCTGCTGGAGAGGAAGCTCGAGACAAAGCAGAGCAAAATACTGGAGGAGAACGGAGAGAATTAACCTGGGGATCGACTCCTCACACACTCCCATCCTTCCCTGTTGCAACTACTCTGCTTCCTAGAAATGACCCACAGCTTGGCTTATCAAACTGTCTCACCAGCAGAGGAGGGAGAAGTATTCAGATACTGTACTTGAGTAAAAGTAGAAGTACTCAGATCCTGTTCTTGAGTACAAGTAGAAGTACTCAGATCTTGTACTTGAGTAAAAGTAGAAGTACTCAGATCTTGTACTTCAGTAAAAGTAGAAGTACTCAGATCTTGTACTTGAGTAAAAGTAGAAGTACTCAGATCTTGTACTTGAGTAAAAGTAGAAGTACTCAGATCTTGTACTTCAGCAAAAGTAGAAGTACTCAGGTCTTGTACTTGAGTAAAAGTAGAAGTACTCAGATCTTGTACTTGAGTAAAAGTAGAGAAGTACTCAGATCTTGTACTTGAGTAAAAGTAGAAGTACTCAGATCTTGTACTTGAGTAAAAGTAGAGAAGTACTCAGATCTTGTACTTCAGTAAAAGTAGAAGTACTCAGATCTTGTACTTGAGTAAAAGTAGAAGTACTCAGATCTTGTACTTGAGTAAAAGTAGAAGTACTCAGATCTTGTACTT